ACCTTCCCTGGCCACGCCGACAGCCCAGCCCGTAGGACCATGCTAGGATTAGCAGCCCCGCTCGCCAGGTGCAGTTCACTTCCTCGTCGCGGAGTTCTTCACTATAGTTGCCCACGAACTAACTGACCAACTAAATGCAGATTTGTTTTTTCTTCTTTTGTTGCGCTCTTGCGCATGAGCAGTGCAGCCGCTCCTCCTGCATCCGCCGTCGGCTGAATCCGCGCTGTTGCCGCTGCCCCAAAGCACCCAAGCCCGTTTCGTCGACTCTGTGCAATCACAAGGGGCTTCAAAATTGTCACACACCAATAGTCCAGCCACTGCGTAGGAAAATCGCTCTAGCGCGCGTGCGCGGCCCGCAACGCCAGCATCGTCCTTGTCTGAGATCTTGGGGGGTTTTCGGATGACACTGCCCACGCGCTGCACACAGCGCATCTGTGCCTGTGTGTTTTTGCCACCGCTCCTTGCAGCCTTCGCAGAAACGCCCATCCATTGGCCATGAGGTGAAGTCTTAAAACATTTAAGGCAGTCTGCGCAATCATAAGGAAAAATGTCAGGCACCAATGGTCAGCCACTGCGCGCCTGTGAAAAGGACAGTGCGCGTATAGGTTGGGCGTTGTTTTCCCGAGTCCCCCTGGTGCTGTCCAGGAACACACGGGCAGTTGCGCCTCATGGAGGCAAGTGTGCCTTGAACACCCACAGAGGACATGTGGTCCCGAAGATCGAGGAGAAGGTGCAGTCTTTGGACTGAGGCATAGGCGTTTGGGCATGAGAGAAGATGGCTCGGCGTTGGCTGTAGCAGCACTGTAGCACCAGCGCGAGTCCGAGACGGCGCGAAACGGGGCACGCTGAACGCGGGCGTGAAGCAAGCCCCAGGGCCGCCGAGGATGTAGCTTTTGGCGAACTACAGCGATGCAGCCACACAATCAGCGCTCTCACGAGGGAAGACTTGGCCTTTGCGGCGCAGATTGCCTGTAGGACGCCGGCAGTGCGGAGGCAGTGGAGACTGAGCTGGCTGCCTTCGCTGCGCTGCCAGTACGGTCTCCAGGCCATCTGAGGCGATTGTGCTTTTCCTGACAAAACGGCTTGGGCCTTGGTGGCGCAGATTGCCTGCGCAAGAGGCGAATGTGCTTTTCCCGAAGATGGTCTTCCGACTCAGGCAGAGGCAGCCTGGCAGAACTCCAGCGTGAGTCCGAGGCGGACCACCAGTACGCAGGGCATGTCTAAACGTGGGCACGAAGAAGGGTGCAGAGTTAACATTGGTGGAAACTGCAGCTTGGAAAATTTCAATGCTTTGAAAACAAGTCTTTTTACAAGCCTCTGACAGTGCCGTTTGGACAGAAATCAACTGCAGGACGAGACAAGTTAACCGTGGTGTTGATTCGTTAAGGTTACGCGCGACGCCCAAGCCAAACCACTTGAAAATTGGAAAGTGTATGACCAGATTGTGAACAAGTGCAAGCGAAGCGAGCGAAACACCAGAGTAAATTCAACAAATTTAACTGATCAAGTGTTAATTTTGAGGGTTTTTTTTTCAACATTTTTCAGAGACTTCAGAAATTTTGAAATTCGTTGAATGGTGAATCCAGGGAAGAATTGCAACACACAACCAAAACGAAAGACAAAGAATTGAGGGCACCCAGCCTGAAAGAAAGCAGAGTTTCTTCTGCTCAATTTGCTGTCAAACTTCAGTGTGCCTTGAATTTCTGTTTGCCATTTTGGAAAATCAAAGACAAGAGAACGCAATCGAAGCTTTGTCAAAAAAAGTTGAATGGAATGGAAATGAGGCTGGGCGACTCTCAAGTCGTTCTGGCCATGATGAGAGGTTAGTGTGATTGCTTTTTTTCAATGTTAGCAAGAACTGCAAAAGCATTTTTTTTCTTCTTGAACTTTGGAGAACGAGAAAACACTGGAAAGAAGCCAGAGTCGTGAAACTTAGGCAATTTTCTTTAGATTCAGCAGCAGATTCATACACAGCAACACTTTTTTGTTTGTTTTTTTTCAGTTGTTCAATGTTTTCTTTGTTTTTTGTCGGAATGATCTCTCGGTTAAGTTGCAAGCTTCAGAAAGAGAGAGTTTTAGAAACCGCCCTAAACCAAAACACAAACAGATCGTTCAGCAAGTGTTTTGGTGAGTACTGCCAGCCCGGTAAGCTGTCGATTGACCAGAAGGACAGTGAAAAATTGCAACGGAACTAAAGATATCCATAAGAATGTGCATTTTGTGGTTTCGGCTGTTTTTCTGAGTGTGCATGTGCAATGAAAAAAATTGCAATTGGAACTTAAAGATATCTTGTGGTTTTGGCTGTTTTTTTCTGAGTTGTGCATGTGCAAGAGTGTTGTAGATGTGTGTGTGTGTGTGTGTGTGTGAGCATTTGTGGTTGCAAAGTGGGTTGGTTTGCGGGTGCATGTCTTTGGCTTCAATGTGCAAGAAAAGTGTCAGTGTGTGGGTAAAGGGTGGTAAGGCATGGAGTCTCAGAAGTGACACCAAATCAAAAAAAAACAGTGACCTTGCAGTGGTGTCTGTGTGTGTGTGTGTGTGTTTGCCTTGTGGTTTCGGCGTTTTGGCAGAGAGTCGTGTGTGTCATGAAGTGTGGTGTGTGTCATTATGTGGGTGCAAAGTGGCTTTAGTGGGTGGCGTGTATGTCGGCTGGGTTCTGCTGGCTGTTCAATCAAGTGTGGAAGTGTGCGGGTGGTGAAAGGTGTGTGGATTTGGAGACACAAAAAGAGGGCAAGAAATCAACCCCAAAAGGTAGGGAAGCCGAAGTGACCTCCACAGTGCGAGAAAGATCGCACGCGAACAATGCAAGACTGCTTTGTCTTGAATGCCAGCTAAAGACAAGTTTAGCAAGCCAAGAACACGCGTATCGACGGCGTTTTTTTGTTATCTTGAGTGTTGGTGAGTTGATTTCAATTATTTTTGAACTCAAATGGGTTCCAAAAGCAGCTCAATTCTGGGCACCGAAAACGGTCCTAGATTTTGGATTTCCTGTGTGAACATACAAGGCCACCCAGGTTGGAGCCTCAAATTGGAACCCAAGTTTAGGAGCCATTTTTGGGCCCAGTTGCGGCGTTTTTTTCACACACGGGAAGCCAGATCTGGCTTTCACAGCTCCTCGTTGCGAGTAAACCAAATAAGCCTCTCAGTCGGTTCCAGTCTAAGTCTTGTGTCAGTCTTCCCCCAAAATTAGAACAGCAGGCAGCAAGGCGGCAAAGTGTGAACTTGTTTGGAACCGGAACTTTCTCTAACTGTGGAGGTCACTGGAGCTTCCCTACCTTTTCGATCAATTTTGCTGCCCCTCATCTTGGGTTTCAGATTCTCCAGGTTTTGGTGCAAGGCCTGAAGGCAGAAGGAGAAAAGAAGGGTGCAGAGTCAACATCGGTGGAAACTGCAGCTTGGAAAATTTCAATGCTTTGAAGTGTTTTTACAAGCCTCTGACAGTGCCGTTTGGACGGAAATCAACTGCAGGACGAGACGAGTTCAACCGTGGTGTTGATTCGTTAAGGTTGCGCGCGACGCCCAAGCCAAACCACTTGAAAATTGCAAAGTGTATTACCAGAATGTGAATAAGTGCGAGCGAAGCGAGCGAAACACCAGAGTAAATTCAACAAATTTAACTGATCAAGTGTTGATTTTGAGGGTTTTTTTCAACATTTTTCAGAGACTTCAGAAATTTTGAAATTCGTTGAATGGTGCTGAATCCAGGGAAGAATTGCAACACACAACCAAAACGAAAGACAAAGAATTGAGGGCACCCAGCCTGAAAGAAAGCAGAGTTTCTTCTGCTCAATCTTCTGTCAAACTTCAGTGTGCCTTGAATTTCTGTTTGCCATTTTGGAAAATCAAAGACAAGAGAACGCAATCGAAGCTTTGTCAAAAAAAGTTGAATGGAATGGAAATGAGGCTGGGCGACTCTCAAGTCGTTCTGGCCATGATGAGAGGTCAGTGTGATTGCTTTTTTTCAATGTTAGCAAGAACTGCAAAAGCATTTTTTTCTTCTTGAACTTTGGAGAACGAGAAAACACTGGAAAGAAGCCAGAGTCGTGAAACTTAGGCAATTTTCTTTAGATTCAGCAGCAGATTCATACACAGCAACACTTTTTTGTTTGTTTTTTTTCAGTTGTTCAATGTTTTCTTTGTTTTTTGTCGGAATGATCTCTCGGTTAAGTTGCAAGCTTCAGAAAGAGAGAGTTTTAGAAACCGCCCTAAACCAAAACACAAACAGATCGTTCAGCAAGTGTTTTGGTGAGTACTGCCAGCCCGGTAAGCTGTCGATTGACCAGAAGGACAGTGAAAAATTGCAACGGAACTAAAGATATCCATAAGAATGTGCATTTTGTGGTTTCGGCTGTTTTTCTGAGTGTGCATGTGCAATGAAAAAAATTGCAATTGGAACTTAAAGATATCTTGTGGTTTTGGCTGTTTTTTTCTGAGTTGTGCATGTGCAAGAGTGTTGTAGATGTGTGTGTGTGTGTGAGCATTTGTGGTTGCAAAGTGGGTTGGTTTGCGGGTGCATGTCTTTGGCTTCAATGTGCAAGAAAAGTGTCAGTGTGTGGGTAAAGGGTGGTAAGGCATGGAGTCTCAGAAGTGACACCAAATCAAAAAAACAGTGACCTTGCAGTGGTGTCTGTGTGTGTGTTTGCCTCGTGTTTTCATTGTGAATGGGTCGTGTGTTGTGGTTTCGGCGTTTTGGCAGAGAGTCGTGTGTGTCATGGAGTGTGGTGTGTGTCATTATGTGGGTGCAAAGTGGCTTTAGTGGGTGGCGTGTATGTCGGCTGGGTTCTGCTGGCTGTTCAAGTGTGGAACTGTGCGGGTGGTGAAAGGTGTGTGGATTTGGAGACACAAAAAGTGATGAACTTTACCATTTACCCCCTAGCATATCTTGTGTACAGATTTTCTAGTGCTTTGACACGTCTTTCATGTTTTGCCAGGAGTGCATTGCATGATTCGGATGATGCGACATTCAGGCCCAAACTTAAGTGGAAAAGACCGCTTGTTTTTTCATGGTAGCGGAGCTCTGGAAAGCCAGACTCCGAAACACGTTTCTTCGGCGGTTTGAGTTCAGGGACCAGGACCTGATCTTTCCTTTGCTTTGTTGGGGTTTTCTTCTGGGGTTTAGGCTGTAGTGTCTATCTCCCGCGCGCCTGCTGCCATAGTTTCATTTTGCGGCCTCCCAGGCTTTACGGGAAGAGCCAACCACGACTACTGCTGCAAGCCTTGAGGCTGTCAAAGACAAACTTCGAGAGTTTTACAGAGAGCAGCTGTTTCTTCGGGTGAAGCCTGAAAACCGAAGGCAAGCGAGCTGGGAGAAGCAGTTGTCTGTGGTCGAGGAAGCATTTGAACTTCGCTTGGAAAAGTTTTCGACAGTCGAAGAAGTGCTTGCATTTGGTGGTAAGTGCTTGAAGAACGAGAACCTTCGCGAATCTTTTACCTGGTTTGGTTTCGAGGCTGCCGAAGAGCAGTCGTTGAGCTGGGCAGCGCAAGTTGCTTTCGTGCACCTGCAGCAGGAGCACGAGAACCTGGATCGAGACCTGTCTGTGGGGTCTATCACTTCAGAGCCCAAGACGCCAGGACACTCTCGGGTGTTCAACAAGAAGCTGCAGTCGGCAGCAAGCCCCATCGACCTCGATCAGGACGAGCCAGAGTACCCCTTACAAAGCCGAAATTCTGACTGTGTGAGACCGCATCTTTCACTGTTCGAACATGGCAGATCAGCTTCCAGTTATTGATGACGATGATGATGATGAGCTGCAAGAAAACGGAGCAGCTTCGTCACAACAACATGGAAATCCATTTTCCCCGACAAGCCAAGGTCAAGGCGCCCAGGGCGTGTACGTTTCTGTGGATGATTTGCGAGTGATGATGCAGCAGATGACTGCTGCTACCAAGGCTGCAAGTGATGCTGCAATGGCGGCAGTAAGGGCCAATTCTTCGAAGGCCTCCCTGGGTTCAAGTGAGATGAGCCGAATCCTGCCGCGGCCGGACACCTTCAAGCCGACAACTCGAGAGGAGGAGCACTCGCAGTGGTTGCAATGGGTATGGTCACTGAAGCAATATGTGGTAGCGCTGGACACTGCTTATGCCGAGGATTTGAAGAAAATCGAACAGTTTCCAACTGCCGAGATTGGGTGGATAAGTGATCCTGATGCTTTGCAAAGGAGCCAACGAATGTATGCATTGCTTTCTGGATTGGTTCGTGGCAGAGGTTTGCAAGTGATCCAACGTGTTCCATCACAAAATGGCTATGAGGCCTTACGACAGCTGATGCAACTTTTCCAGCCGTCAAGCCGTGCCCGCTCGCTTGGCATCCTCACCGCAGACGCACCCGTTTCGCACCAACGAGCCGTTCCTGGCCCAGCTGTTGGATCTGGAGCGAGTGATGGAGGAATACGAGCGTTCGTCTGGCAAGAAGCTGGAAGAAGACTTCAAAACCTCGATACTGCTCAAGAGCATTTCTGGCGGCATGCGGAACCACCTGTCCACCGTCCTGACGGAGACCTCCTCCTACGACGAGATCAGAGAGGCAGCTCTTCGTTATGAGCGCATGCAGTTCAAGTGGAGCCCTTCAAACCTTTTCAGCACCGAGTCTTCGTATGCGCAAAGGAAGTCCCACGAGCAGGAACCGCAGCCAATGGACATCGGTCAAGTTAAGGGTGGTCCTAAAGGGTACAAAGGTGGCAAAGGTCCTAAGGGTCCTAAGGGTTCAAAAGGTCAAAAGGGCAATGACAGCAAGGGCAAGTATGGCAAGGCTGGAGGCAAAGAGTCTAAAGGTTACTCTCAGAACTACAACAATGCCAAAGGTGACAGGAATCCAGGCAAAGGTGGCAAGGGTGATAGGAAAGGCAAGAACAATGCACCGAAGGGGGGCAATCTGTCCTCCAACACCACATGCCACAACTGTGGCCGTCCTGGCCACTATGCAAGAGACTGCTGGCGCCCTCGTGTCAACCAGGTTGAGCAGTCCCAAGGCCAGCCTGGTCCACAGCCTTCCGGAGCTTCTGTGAGCGGCACCACCACCAGTGCCGGCCCTTCATATAGCAGTGCCCCGAGCCAAGCCTCCACAGCCGTGCGTCGTGTCATTGCCGACCCTTTTGTGATGGACATGAGCCAGCTTGACCTGTCAGGTGATGACCCTTTCGTGCGAATGATTCATGCTCAGCACTTCCGGTTGGACGCCACTGATGGCGACTCAGACTGGGTAGTGATTGGGTGTTCGAACAGAACCCATGAGCAGCATGTGCGAGCACTGACCCGAACCAGTGACACCTGTTCTGTGATCATCGACTCCGGAGCTGACGTTTCTTGCATCCCCTTGAGCTTTGCATCTTGTGGAGTCAGTTCCCCTGGAGATTGCGTGATGCATGTGCGTGATGCTCAGGGTGGCAGCATGCAGGTGAAGGATGAGCGCATTGTCGATTTCGTTTTGCAAAGCCCAAGCCATGGACATGTTACCATCCGTGAGAGATGCATCGTCGCAGACGTATTGCAGCCGCTAATAAGTATGGGTCGGTTGATCAAACAGGGCTGGTTTCCGTGCCAAAATGCCCAAGGCTTCTGGTTGAACCATGATGCTTCAGGAGCCGATGTGCCTATGACATTCCGAGGCATGAGCCTTGGAGTGGATGCCGAGATTCGTCGGGTTGAGAAAGCCGAAAGTCCAAGTTCTTGTGTGCAAGCATGTGATCCACAGAGTTCCCACGTCCAGTCGAAAGGTCCTCAAGTGCAAGCCTGTGATCCGCAGAGTTCCCACGTCCAGTCGAAAGGTCCTCAAGTGCAATCATGTGATCCGCAGAGTTCCCACGTCCAGTCGAAAGGTCCCCAGTGTCAACCAGATGACACGCATGTCCGTGTCCTTCAGCGTGCCGTGTTGGGTCCGGAGTTGAGCAACTTGCATTTCGGGTGGCAGATCCTCACCTCAGGGAATTTGTGCTGGCGGGGTCGTTCGTCACGCATGTTAGACCCATCCTTTATGGTTGATCGAAGCTGGCCCTTGCGTTCCACCTTGATGAGACGAAGTGAAACCTCAGCTTGGTTTTTGATCGAACACTGTGAGTCGTGGTTGGAGATGGAAGATCTTGAAGATGACATCCCAGGAGGTGGAGAGGCTGAGTTGATCGTTTGCATGCATGTGAGCAAGGAACCCATGTCTTCGCTCGGAGTTGAAAATCTCACTGAGAGCCTGGTTGAGGATGTAGTTCCATCTCCCAAGACCCCAGAACTTCCGTACGATGAGGATGAGTTGTTCGATTATGAACCGTCGCCAGTTGATGAGCCCGATGCAAGTGTGATCATTCGTGAAGAGCCTGCGTCCCGAGGTGCGTTGCCCGACATGGAAGAGCCTCTTAGCAATCCCGTTGCTGTGCCTGCTGACACGCTCACCCTTGATGGCGTTGTGCTCAACTGTGAGAGTTCGATTGGTGCCCTGAAAGCAGCCTGCACTAAGTTGGGTTTGAGAACTTCCGGTTCTAAGACTAGGCTGTTTCAGAGGATAAAGGGTTACCTTGAGAAGCAAAAGTTGTCACTTGCCTCAGACATCGCCCGAGATGCTTCAGAGGGAGCTGCTCGATTGCCCCACATGCAATCAATCCCCGATGTTCCGTCCAGAGAGCAACAGCTCATTCACGAGCTTACTCACACGCCATACGCGGCGTGGTGCAGTCACTGCATCACCATGCGATCTGTTCCGGACAGATCAGAGGCTACAAATGCCGCACCACGAGACCTCCCGAGCGTCTCTTTCGACTTCTGCTATACCGGGTTCAGTCCTTCCTCGAACGAGCTTGAGCCTGTAGCAGGTGAACCTTCTTCAAGTGCCAAAGACCTACTTTGCTGTCTGATCGCACACGATTCCGCCACTGGTGCCATCACGGCAATACCCTGTGAGAGCAAAGGCAGCACACGATACCTTGGGGTTGAGCTGATGAGGTTCATTCAATCCTTGGGTCATGCGACAGTGGAGTTGAGGTGTGATGCTGAACCAGCTACACTTTCGTTGCAGCGTGCTGTGGTGAATGCGAGACAGCGGCTGGGATTGAAGACGGTTGAAAGGAATCCTCCTGTTGGCCACCACCAAGCCAACGGGTATGTTGAGAAAGCGGTAGACCTGATCCGAAGGTTGGCGTGCACCCTCTTGGACATGGTGAGACATAAGACTGGATGCAAGATCGATGTTGTGCATCCTCTCTTCGCATGGTCTTTTGTGCATGCTGCATGGGTCAGGAACAGGTTCGCAGTGGCAGGCGGACTCACAGCGTATGAGCGTACTTGCAATGCTGCTTATACCGGCAAGCTTGTTGCATATGGCGAACCAGTGTTTGCACAAGTTCATGCAAAGAAGAAAGGAGACCCAAAATGGCTGAAGGCTATTTTCTTGACCAAGACCAGTTTGAACGACATGTATGTAGTTGCAAGCAAAGGTGGCGTGCGAGTCACCCGCTCCGTGAGGCGCACAGGTCATGAGTGGAAGCATGATGCTGCTTTGTATGCCGATATTAAGGGTTTTCCTTGGAACTACAGTAGCGGGGTCATAGGAACTAAGATGGTTCCCCCTGCCAAGACGAGAAAGGCCTTGCCTGCACCAAGCAGCCCACAAGACGTTGCAGCTTCAGATCCACCTGAGACGCCAGTTCCGATGGGGTTGACTCCTGCCATGGGGTCAGAAGTAGGCCCTAACCTTGGAACCCCTGCCGAAGCATTGCCTCCAACACCCGTGGGAGGTAGTGTGGACCCCGAAGCCCCTAAAGTGCCTTTCAGTCGTCCACCACCGCCAAGCTCCAGGGTGCCAGAAAGTGTTCCAACACCCGGACCTGAGCTTCCAAATCCTTCACAAAGGCCACATGTGCCTCCTGCAACACCCGTGGAAGACCTGCTTCCACTCACAAGTCCAGTGGTGCCATCAGGCACTGCTATGGAGACTGATGAGGCCAGTGATGTTCTTGAAGAACGTGCTTCAAAAGTTCCGAGAATCCGAACTGTTTCTTTTGGCAACAAGGACTATGATCTTAATGACGAGCCCTTTGAGTTTGTGGATGCAGATTGGTCCGACTTCGAGTTTGTGGACCCCGATTACGACAAGTGTTCGAGCACCGAACCCGACTCGGCAATGAAGGACGAGGCGGGGCAGAGCGTTGATGCCAGTGCTCTATGGTTTCCAGACAATGGTTGTGAACCGAAGCTTTCAGAGTCAGATTTGTTCGAACTTGACAGGATCGCTGATGCTGTGGAAGTGAATAGGCTGATACAGAAGGGTGTGTTGCGCCCGTCGTCCGAGAAGGACAACGTTTCATCGATGAAGAGTCTCTCGACCAAAATGGTCAGGACTTGGCGGCAGAAGAAGAGGAATGGGATGTCACAGTATCTCCGAAGATCCAGACTAGTGGCAAGGGAGTACAAGTGGCTTGAGGAGAAACAAGGGCTATTTTCCCCAAGTACCACGACAAACATGGTGAAACTCATTCCGATCCTTTTCCTTTTGTGGAGAGCGACGAGGCAAGAGCAATACGCAATATGTGCTATAGACGTCAAAGACGCCTATTTAGAGGTGCCTCAGGAAGAGCCCGTCGTCGCAGATCTACCCAAAGATTGCATGCTTCAAGGACAATACGTCTTTGAGAAGTGTGTGCCTGGACAGAGAGATGGTGCACAAAGATGGTTTGGATATTTCGTACAGTTTTTGACCGACAAGTTCGATGCCCTTGAGTCTTGTGTTGAGAACCCGGCAATCATGCGTGTCCCCGAGGGCCCGATGATCATGCATGTTGACGACGGCCTCACGCTTGCTCCCTTGACATGGCTCAAGCAGAAGTACATCCCTACATTGCCATCGCGTTTCGAGATCTCGGTAGAGATTGCGTACAAGAATGGAGATGTCTTTTCTTTCTTGAAGAGAAAGCACACTATTTTGGAATCTGGGATTTTAGTGGAAGCTTCGAGCAGCTACATACGACACATGGCCGAAGTACTTGATGTCAAGCACGGATCGAAGCATAACACACCATATCTTCCAGAGCTAATTCGCGAAGATGTTTCCGGTCCTCTTGATCCTGTTCGAGCAGGAAAGTTCAGGAGTGCACTGGGTATTGCATTGTATTTGTCAAGTGATCGCATTGACATCTGCTACTCGGTCCGACTTTTGGCAGGATTCATGTCAAATCCCACCGAACAGGCATGGAAAGGATTGATCAGACTAGCGAAGTATCTGCTTAACACTGCTGAGTATGCCACGTTGCTTTCGCCCAAGCTTCCTGGATCCACAGTCTTCCGCGAGGCGAATCACGATGATATGCCCAACCGAATTGAGATCTACAGCGATTCTGATTGGAGTGGACATCGGGTTACAAGAAAGTCTTTTGGAATTTTCCTGAGGGCGATTTTCGCCTTCATGGCGGCGATTACAGAATGCTCCTTGGATCTTAAGATAGACAATTCAGCAGCGAGACAGCTCGCCCTACGCCAAGGCGTTGGGAACAAGACTCGCCATGTAGCTGGTCGTCTCTTGTGGTTGCAGCAATCAGTGCGTGAGAAAATCATCGATGTTGGAGCAATTGCAAGCATTTTCAATCTTGGCGATTTATCTACAAAGATGCACAGTGCCAATCGTTTGCGAGCCTTACTGTTCTTGCATGGTTTCGTTGATGCTTTCACAGGAAAGGCTATTGGCGAGGAAGAGTTTGCACAAATGGCTCTGCAAGATCAAGCAAAGATGCAGGTGAAGAGAGTTCGTACTGAATATGCTCGGCAGCATGGAGTGACCGGTTCCTTGAAGGGCGAAGCAAGCAGGCTGACGAAACAGGTAGCACTTCTTACTCTTCTTTGTTTGCCTACAACTGGAGATGCAGCAGAGGCGGCGAATCCGTACCAGCGTCATGGCATGGCGAACGTGACTTGGGCTACCGTCCTGTTGTGCTGTGGTTTGTGCATTTACCGGGCCTTGAGCTGGGCTAGAGACTTCCATGGTTTCGACATGAACAGTCTTCTGGAAATGAGCTCGCAAGACTTTGCGACCAAGATGATCATGAGTTTCATCTTCCTGTGTGGACTGATGCCGGAGTGTACCATGGAGCAGTACATGTGCTTCTTTCTTCTTGGGGTGGTGTGGACCATGCATCGCTACATTCTTCAGCTGGAGCACAAATTGCAACCGACGAGTACTGAGCCAACTGATGGTGAGCTGATGCAAGTCCGTTCTGACGCCAATGTGAGAATCGTGGTACCCCAAGAGCTTTTCGTTACACGAAGTGGTGAGTGTTTTCATCACAGAAGCTGTGGAACCTTGAAGAGTTCCCTCAATCCCCCAAGGAGGTTGAGCACGTGCAGTCATTGTAAAGACATGCTGACGCGCACAGAGTAGCAGACGAAAGTTCATGTGAGATATGCAGTTCGAACACTGCAATCTCAGGCGGGGTGATGAACTTTACCATTTACCCCCTAGCATATCTTGTGTACAGATTTTCTAGTGCTTTGACACGTCTTTCATGTTTTGCCAGGAGTGCATTGCATGATTCGGATGATGCGACATTCAGGCCCAAACTTAAGTGGAAAAGACCGCTTGTTTTTTCAAAAAGAGGGCAAGAAATCAACCCCAAAAGGTAGGGAAGCCGAAGTGACCTCCACAGTGCGAGAAAGATCGCACGCGAACAATGCAAGACTGCTTTGTCTTGAATGCCAGCTAAAGACAAGTTTAGCAAGCCAAGAACACGCGTATCGACGGCGTTTTTTTGTTATCTTGAGTGTTGATGCAAACAGTATCGAATAGAAAAAATCTTGTTTGTCTGTGAGTTGATTTCAATTATTTTTGAACTCAAATGGGTTCCAAAAGCAGCTCAATTCTGGGCACCGAAAACGGTCCCTAGATTTTGGATTTCCTGTGTGAACATACAAGGCCACCCAGGTTGGAGCCTCAAATTGGAACCCAAGTTTGGGAGCCATTTTTGGGCCCAGTTGCGGCGTTTTTTTTCACACACGGGAAGCCAGATCTGGCTTTCACAGCTCCTCGTTGCGAGTAAAACAAATAAGCCTCTCAGTCGGTTCCAGTCTAAGTCTTGTGTCAGTCTTCCCCCCAAAATTAGAACAGCAGGCAGCAAGGCGGCAAAGTGTGAACTTGTTTGGAACCGGAACTTTCTCTAACTTCTCTAACTGTGGAGGTCACTGGAGCTTCCCTACCTTTTCGATCAATTTTGCTGCCCCTCATCTTGGGTTTCAGATTCTCCAGGTTTTGGTGCAAGGCCTGAAGGCAGAAGGAGAAAAGAAGGGTGCAGAGTCAACATCGGTGGAAACTGCAGCTTGGAAAATTTCAATGCTTTGAAGTGTTTTTACAAGCCTCTGACAGTGCCGTTTGGACGGAAATCAACTGCAGGACGAGACGAGTTCAACCGTGGTGTTGATTCGTTAAGGTTGCGCGCGACGCCCAAGCCAAACCACTTGAAAATTGCAAAGTGTATTACCAGAATGTGAATAAGTGCGAGCGAAGCGAGCGAAACACCAGAGTAAATTCAACAAATTTAACTGATCAAGTGTTGATTTTGAGGGTTTTTTTTCAACATTTTTCGGAGACTTCAGAAATTTTGAAAATTCGTTGAATGGTGCTGAATCCAGGGAAGAATTGCAACACACAACCAAAACGAAAGACAAAGAATTGAGGGCACCCAGCCTGAAAGAAAGCAGAGTTTCTTCTGCTCAATCTTCTGTCAAACTTCAGTGTGCCTTGAATTTCTGTTTGGCCATTTTGGAAAATCAAAGACAAGAGAACGCAATCGAAGCTTTGTCAAAAAAAGTCGAATGGAATGGAAATGAGGCTGGGCGACTCTCAAGTCGTTCTGGCCATGATGAGAGGTCAGTGTGATGGTTTTTTTTTTCAATGTTAGCAAGAACTGCAAAAGCACTGTTTTTCTTCTTGAACTTTGGAGAACGAGAAAACACTGGAAAGAAGCCAGAGTCGTGAAACTTAGGCAATTTTCTTCAGATTCAGCAGCAGATTCATACACAGCAACACTTTTTTGTTTGTTTTTTTCAGTTCAAATTGCCTTCGCCCGTCTGAAAAGAATTTTTCTCTTGCTTTTGTTCAATGTTTTCTTTGTTTTTTGTCGGAATGATCTCTCGGTTGAGTTGCAAGCTTCAGAAAGAGAGAGTTTCAGAAACCGCCCTGAACCAAAACACGAACAGATCGTTCAGCAAGTGTTTTGGTGAGTACTGCCAGCCCGGTAAGCTGTAGAATTGACCAGAAGGACAGTGAAAAATTGCAACGGAACTAAAGATATCCATAAGAATGTGCATGTTGTGGTTTCGGCTGTTTTTCTGAGTGTGCATGTGCAATGAAAAAATTGCAATCGGAACTTAAAGATATCCATAAGAATGTGTATTTTGTGGTTTCGGCTGTTTTTCTGAGTTGTGCATGTGCAAGAGTGTTGTAGATGTGTGTGTGTGTGTGTGTGAGCATTTGTGGTTGCAAAGTGGGTTGGTTTGCGGGTGCATGTCTTTGGCTTCAATGTGCAAGAAAAGTGTCAGTGTGTGGGTAAAGGGTGGTAAGGCATGGAGTCTCAGAAGTGACACCAAATCAAAAAAACAGTGACCTTGCAGTGGTGTCTGTGTGTGTGTGTGTGTGTGTGTTTGCCTCGTTTTTTCATTGTGAATGGGTCGTGTGTTGTGGTTTCGACGTTTTGGCAGAGAGTCGTGTGCGTCATGGAGTGTGGTGTGTGTCGTTATGTGGGTGCAAAGTGGCTTTAGTGGGTGGCGTGTATGTCGGCTGGGTTCTTCTGGCTGTTCAAGTGTGGAAGTGGGCGGGTGGTGAAAGGTGTGTGGATTTGGAGACACAAAAAGAGGGCAAGAAATCAACCCCAAAAGGTAGGGAAGCCGAAGTGACCTCCACAGTATGTGTTATTGTTCTCGCGTGGATTGCTACGGTTCGGCGTGATGAAATGGAACAACAATGTTGGCACCCGGGCTGGAATGAGACCCCAAACCGTCCTTGGCATCTATCTAAACTCCGACAGCTGTCTGTGTGGGATACTGTCCCGCGAACCCATATGCCCAAACACCATCCTGAGTGGCTCCGTAAAAGCGGCGCTTGACCACCACCACTGTTTGCTTGCCCCCATGTTTCAACAGCAAGTAACTGCTGTCCGGCTTTTCGAGATATGTCTCTTATTGTCTTTGTTTTTGGCAACGAGCTTCTTCACCACATCAGCGGCGCAGTAAAAAAGTCAAGTGAGTCAAGCCTACTGCTTAAAGCGGAAGTCCACGTAAGAGCACCATCAGCTTCTCGCTCCACTTGCGCATTTTCCCAAAAATGAGCAAAGGGTCCGTGAAACCAGTTTCAACTGGAACAAACGGACTCTGCCGATGCATTAATTTTCCACGCGTAGCAGCTCAAAAGGATCTTCTGCCGTGCAAAAAAAGCCGTTAAGCTTCTGTGTGCCGCTTAGCAAATTTCGTTTGACTTTTTAAAAAAAAATTTCACGGCTGTGCCACAAAGATGCTGGCAGTGCAAGTGCAACAGAGTAAGTTGTTTGTTGATGACAATTGGAACCAATGAAACCAAAGCGCGCCTGCTGATGCTCCGCTTTATCTCTGCATTATTTTCCAAGCAAATCATGCTGCAGGTGCTTTAGTCGAGTTTCCAGCTGAAGCCAAAGCGGAAATCAACAAGAGGGATGAAGCCGAGGCGCTATGAACTGAAGAATTCCCGTTTTATCATGCTTTCTTGTTCCGAGCATTGGAGCTCCGGATCATTTTTGCAGTGATGCTGCGTCTGGCAGCGGAGGACCGGAGCTCTAACTCTTGAAACTTCTACTTCCAGCTGAATTGCTAAAAGTTCTTCGTGGGGCACTGGCCAACGTCTGTCTGCTCTTTGTCTCGCTCCAGAACTCTGAAAAGAAATCCAAAATTAATCAAAAAGGGCCAAACTTGTTCTGCATGTTTAGAATTCTGCAAGCAAAAACCGTGCATTCGAGTTTGAGTTCTGATTGGTTTCCTTGTGTGGTGTGTTGTTGCTTTGGTTGGTGTTGTTCGTCTTTCTTGTTCTTCTTGATTCTTACGGCGATCTATTTCACACTGTTTTCCTACAAGAACGGTCGACGCTGCTACTACTGAACAGGAAAGAGCGTCCAGAATTGAAAAAAAATCTGAGACTTGAGAATGCTAAGCGCCAGGTTTCGACACGGGTTTGGCGACAAAATGGAGAGAAAGAAATTGCTCTATTGTGAACGTGTGATGAGAAGGAAGAGTTTACGTACTGTTGCACATGATGAGTAGAGAAGCACCAGAGATGCTTTAGAAGCATTCTTGAGAAAGTGCGTCACTCTAAGTTTGCTCTTCAAACGTACACTGGGCCCGTTCTTACACCGCATGGCTTATGCAGGAAGCGGCAGAAATTTTGCGCACCGATCTGCATGGACCAATCAGACGCTGCCCTTAAAGGTCTATCCATTTCATCTATCAGATGTGTCCATCGATTCCGCAGCTGATCAATCGTATTTCTTTGGATCCAAGACTCGATGTGCTTTACTGGAGCTTGTCCGAGTTATTGCTTTTGGCAATGCAAGACTTGTCAGTTACAAGTCCTTTTTGGACCATTGCCTTTTCACATTAGCGGCGCAGTGTCACAAGTCGAAATTTAGACTTGTTTAATGCCCGTGTCAGTCCGAGGTCAATGGCAGTTGATCTGATTTTTCGTTTCAATTTTTCATTTGTCGCCAGATCTTGCAAGCTGTTGCTTGGAATAAAACAAGCAATCCACAGCATGTTTGACAAATTTGCTGAGTTTTGTTCCTTCGATTGATCGCTTCAATGACAGTTTGACTGTAGGCTGGCTAGAAGCAGATGTTAAACTTGATAAGATTTCTTTTCGCCCGTTGGTCGCCAACACGGAATGACTCGTGCAGAGCACAGAATCAGTGGAACGACCTCAGCTGTTTGATGCTGCTTTGCTCCACTTGATAACTTTAAACTCACTTCCCGTAAGGCCCGCGGCTTTTTGAACCAACTGCTCAAAAGCCTCGAGAGTGTGGCATGGCTGCGAAATGTTGGAACCTGAAGGCAGATGAGGCTTTCGCACGCGACTCCTCTTCTTTGTAACATTCAATCACGAAAGCGCCCCGAGATCGACCGCCAGCAAGTCCTCCCTTTCGTCCAAAGTTTCGGTGACGGGTTACATCTGGACATCGTCTTGAACGTTTTGGATCTGCTTAGATCTAGAACAGGCCCTGAAGGGTTATGTGTTGCTCAGAACACTGACCGCCGCAGGTATGAACTGGTGTCGGCTGCGAGGCCATGTTGACTTGGGCCATAAAGCACCTGCTGGCATTACTGAAGGAAGAGCATCGTGTCGCGGCGGGCCAACACTGCCGCTAGAGC